TTATCTCAGCTGGAGACAGTAACATACAAAGTGCTCCATCAGAAGATAAGGAGCTCTTTTTTCGTAGTCAGCACTCAAGTATGATCAACGGTCTGCATGGTATTTACCAAGCGTATGGGCCGGTTGTGAGGTAATTATTAAGGTTTCAAAATTGTTAGTTAACTCAGCATTCCTGAAACCCTAGTATATCTTATGATATGTTCTTTCCGTTTCAAAGGCTAGCAAAAAGGTGGATTTCCGCACATCTATTCTCTTCATTTATCTCAGAGGAGGCGGTTGAATTGGTGGTTGCCTACCTATTTTTGAGGCCGTTTCCATTCCATGCCCCCTCTTCACGGGTTACTGGGTTCCTTAGGTACAATTTTGTAATCTTGTAAACCTTACTTTTAATATTACTACTCCATACTTGTCAGTTGAGAGAAGTGCATATTTCAACCCTGAACTCTTGCCCTAGTCTATTTTACAACCCTGAACTTTAATACCGTCTAAATTACAACCCTCAAGTCTCAAAACCGGTCAGGATTCAACCCTCCCCTCCCTGTTGACCGGTTTTGACCTGGGGTGACCAGTTTTGACTAGTTAACGGGTCCAATCAGCATGCCACGTCAGAATTTTTTTCAAAATTTCAAGAAAATGTAAATAAAAATCTATAAGATCGGGAAAAAAATATAAAAAGGCAAAATTCCGAAAAATTTGTTCGCGAAAAAAGCTAGGGAAAATAAAAATGATTTTTTTTCCTGGAATTTGAGTTTTTGGGTTTTTTTCTGGATTTTTTTTGGAAATTCGTTTTTTTATTTTCCGTGTTTTTCGGAAATTGGATTTCTTATTTCTTTTCCTGGATTTTCTTCGATTTTACAGGTTGTTTCCTTAGAAATTTTGCATTTTTTGCTGATGTGGCATGCTGACTGGACCTGTTGACTAGTCAAAACCGGTCAACAGAGAGGGGAGGGTTGAATCCTGGCCGGTTTTGAGAGTTGGGGGTTGTAATTTAGATGGTATTGGAGTTCGGGGTTGTAAATTAGACTAGGGCAAAAATTGAGGGTTGAAATATGCACTTCTCTCTTGTCAGTTTCATTGTTTTGTGTCATATAAGAACAGAACATGAAGCAAACATATTTGTTAAAAAATAGAATGAAGAACACAATAATTAATCTCCTAAATATCTATTTTAATACATGCTTTTGTTCTAAAATTAATACCCAAGATTTAGCGTTCTGGTGAGTGATATCAATGTTTTGATAAGGACTATTAAAGAATATGCTTTTTCTTGATATAAAGGTGGTCCAGCAACAGACTTTAAGATATGTGTTGGAATACTGACCCTGGCTATTGCTTTTGACTTGTAATAATTGCTCCAGGATAACAGCACCTTTACTACTATATGTTCTTGCAAATAAATTTACCATAAACCCATGATGTTATTACTGTTAAAGTATTTGTGGATCGCGCAACCTTTTCCATCAGTTCGGACTTTTGGTTCTACTGGTTGGTGCATGACACTTAATAATTAGTTACCTCAGAAAAGTTTGGGTACCACCCCCTCTCTCACCTATTTCAGTAGTCGGTTATATTTTTTTACTGGTCTCGCAGGCACATGAAAGCTTTATATGTCCTCTGACCAGTTACTAAAAAATTGACAGGTTCTTGCGGTTGCTATCTAGTTTTGACTGGACCTTTTCACCCATGATTGTGGACATAAATAATGACTTCAACCTGAAGGATGAGAAAGAAATCAATGTTTGTTCTCTGGTTCTCTTTTTTATCTTTTCACATTTGAATAAGCTGTCAAGCCCCTAACATATTGAGAGATGCAACCGCAGGAAAACTTTATGCTGAGCAGAAGATCTTATGAACAAAATCCTCATGATATAGAGCCTGCAATGTTTCTGGCTACGTCATATGATAAATCATCTGAAGCGTGGACAAAACAATCACCAAGCAAGTTGGTAGGTGTTTATCTTTTTGTACAGATGTAAAGCTAGTTACTGTTATGTAATTCAAGTCTACATCAATGATAAAGCTACAAAAGGTTAATGGGGAAATCATGCACTATATCTCCAATTCTTGTGCATCAACAACATTTCCCAATGTTTAAGTGTCAAATCTTGTCTCAATATCATGAAAAGCATCTATATGACATCTCTTGTCGGAATCAACTAGCGCGCGATACAGTACAACACGACGATGACATGTGCGATGGAACAAAGGTTGTGCTGGCATCATGCATGGTCACGATCACGCGTGCGTGGGGCTGATCGTTGAATTGGGTGGCGCACATTGCGTCGCGAAGAACGACTGGGCAATGTTCGTTCCATAGAATTACCGTTCTTGTCAGTGCATCTTCTATGATATTTCTGCATGAGAAGCACCTATATGACATAACCAGCAATTGCATGAGAAGGGTGACAAGAAATGTCATAATCTGGGGAAATGCCATATAAGGCTTTTGCCGGAGATGCATCTATGATAATTGCTAGTCAATTACAGTTTCAGAACCAAATGGGTCTATTTTATTCATTCACCTTCTGTTCATTTAACCACAGGTTCTTAAACGGATAGCTTCTTACGCTAAAAGCAGCGCTGAGCTGTTAACAAATCTTATCATCCATGGTCAATCAGGCCAATATACATGGGAGGTAAGGTTTTTCTGTCATCACTTGATTGGTTCACTGTCTCATTAGGTTTTGATTTTCTCACTCGCTTTCATTTGCTATAGTGCCTCTTCCGAACACCTTTAAGCAATTATGACGCCGTTATACTCCTCCATAAAGAGAAGCTTTGCCGTCCTCACCATGTTCTTTTTCCTGCTGAGATTCCTAACGGTTAGTTCAGACATTAATATTTGTTGCTAACCAGAAACTAGATGAAATTCAACTCGTGTCATGTATTCTTGATGCAAATAACTTCCGGCACAACCTTGCAGGTAAGTTAGTAATCCAGGGCAAACCAAGCAATGATTTCCACCCTTGTATGCCACTCAGTAAAAGTGTTGTGAGAAGCTTGCATGACACAAGAGATAAACTTTTGGTGAATTTTGACCCTACCGCATACTTCTTGCGAGACTTGAAGGTAAAATCGAAACTATCAAGCTTTGGTTGCATAAAGATATGTTAATCCATTAAGTATGATAATCCAATTTGTGTACAGTGTGCATTCCCTATGACCTTCAAATTGTGGCACGATTCGATTGGAGGGGACGCAATTGGTCTTACATGGGAGAGCTCAAAGGTATTTTTCTCACTGATTGCTTGTGTTGTAGATGACTGTTTCTTCACTTTAATCTTCCCACAAGTAGATACCCCATTTACTCAAATACTATGTACCTGTATCTGTTGCTAATAAATGTTTTATCATGCCGAGCTTTTTAGGTTGTGGCATATCCCAGGTATGTAAGTTGACTTGATTTTGTGTTGTTATTATGACAGAAGCGTGGCAGAGATGAGGATGATGAAGCCATGCCGGATCCAACGTCTATACTCAAGGAGGTTGGAGATGTGGGTAAAGGGTTGGTGAGGAGTGTACATCTCCTCAAAGCACCAAAGCTCGAGTGAGCTTTTGCGTGAAGGAGTTTGCTGATGTGCAGGAGAGGACTCCTGGCTGATTTTCTACCACTGGCTAGAGAAAGGAAGACCCAGAGCCAGTGGACAACATGTTCTACAGCAAAGCAATGTATAAAGTCGTGACGATATCATGTGGTTGTTGTAACTCCAATTGGAAGATCAAGTCAGCAAAAATCTGTACCCAAATTTTGATTCTGAGTTCCAGAGTAGTATAGCGATGAAGTTCTATTTCCTGGTCATTTCAGAAAAAAAAGGAATCAAAATCGAGCAGCTACTAAACGCAGGGTTACAGGAAATTTGCATTTGTCTGCCAAGCAGAATTCTCATGTAAAATTTGTTATACTCGGAAATGGCCTATTTCATCTGTCTTGTGAAATTCTTCAGTAGATGTGTCTACAATTCTAGCCCTTGCCAACTGCACATATCTGGTGAAGGGGCGTAGCAGCGAGAGAAGGGCTTCGGAATCGGAATTGTAGCAAAGGCGGGTGAGATCTCAGCGGTCAACAGGCGGTGTCCAAGACATGGATTGATCGCATGTCAGACATGAGTTTGATACTTGACTGAATTCATGGTCTAAACTATAAACAACGACAAGATCTCTACTCCATATGAGTACAAGTAGTATTTGGGTCCATGCCATGACGGCTGAATTTGGGAAATGGCAGAAGGTCCAGAACCCTAGCCACAACCCGATTTATCTAGATTCGGTAATAACACTCGGTGAAATAACCAATGGTAGAATTAAATCAGGTAAAACAGAGCAAGTGAAAGTTAAACAGTCAGGTCCTTCTCGACCGTTGATCTTCAGTCACTTCGCCTTGGTTGCTGGCTGGTAGCTGTTGGATGAGCCTGAATCTTTTTCCCGGAAGAGCTACACCCAACTGAATATGAAGGCACTTCTTCAAAGGGAAACGTTTTCCGCCGGCTGACCGGCTTAATTAACTTTGAGCTGGTCGCTCGCACACATGGCCCTGGGCCCACGTGTGCCGCGCGCTCGCCACATAAACGCCTCGCGTGTCACTGCTTCCTTCTTATCCATTCGTCATTGACTAGGCCAATCTTCCTCTTATCTCCTCATCTCCTCCACAAACCAAGGTGCGTCCATGGCCACCGCTGGACACAGCTACCCACCACCGTTGGAAACATATACGCCTCGCGTTTTTCGTTGTGAATCTGGTGTTGCAGGTGCGGGGGCCGCCGACGACAGTTGGCTGGAGCCGGGGGAGCTTCGAGCTTGAGGCTACCGTGCTGCAATCGGCGAGATGCAGGCAACCAGCTGCGCGGCGAGGTGCCGGGTCCTGCAACCGCCAATGCGTGGAGCTGGGACCGACACGCGGCCGTGCTGCGACCAGCACATAGCGGTGCTGGTACCGACGCGGCGTGGTGCTACGACCAGCGCGGCGGCGACAGCCACCGTCGGCCAAAAAGCTACAACCATCTATGTCGATGGATGCAACCGGTGGTTACCAATGCTACAACCCCGTCCTCGGCACTGTGGTGACACGCACACCGGCGATGCTACAACGGCAAGACGAAGTGCTACTACCGGCAAGTTTTTTTTGCTGGATCCGGCTTCGTTTTTTGCTGGAATCGACTAATTTTTTTTGCTTCAACAGATTACTGGACTTTTTGTTGCTTAAATTTGTTTTGCTGAAATCGATGTTAATTTTTGCTGTAACTGGCTTCGTTTTTTGCTGGAATCGGCTAATTTTTTGCTTCAACGTATTACTTGATTTTTTTGGTGCTGAATTTTGTTTCCTGGAACCGATGTTAATTTTTTTGCTGGAACCGGCTTCGTTTTTGCTTCAACCATGTATTGGAGTTTTTGGCTAGAGCACGGTGGTGCAAATCGACGACGGAGGCGAGACGGAGGCGGCAAACAACAGGAGCGGAGTTGCAATCAAACTTGTTTATTTTGTCTCCGTCGGCTGATGTGTAGAATTGTTGCAAATCGGCATCTAGCAGGGGGTGGATCGGAGCTGGAACCGGCGAGTGTGCGGAGGCGGAGTTGCATCAGAAAAAGCAGCGACGGGAGATGGGATGGTGACTGCCGGCGCGTCGCAGCAAGCTCGGGCGTCGTCTTCGCTGAGACCGCGGGGGAGGAGGTAGCGCTGCGTGGGGGTGAGTTGCTCTTACACGCGTTGGGATGAGGACAACGCTCTGGGGGACGAATCCATGGCGTTTCTGTGGGGGGATTGTAGCGTTGACTAGTAAGAGAAGGGAATAGAGCGTGAGATCTGACGGTCACGTGGTCTCCAATCGAACGGTCGGCAGCAGACCGGCCGAAAGTTGGGCCGTCACACCGGCGCCTAGCACTGGCCTTCTTCAAATAGGTGTAGGCGGTCTGACATTGTCCCCTTGTTAGAGACGATGCGTCCTCATGGAGTTATTGCAGCCGCACGCCAATCATCGGTTGCTTGTTGAAATAATTTGGGCAACATGCACTTGATGAATTTAGCATTCTCCCGGGTAACCTCTGCCGGTTATCGATTTGTCCATTGAATCAACCATAGAACCACAATGATGTTGTGCCGAGGAATTTGCCATACCTGCAAAACAAGCGTTGGTTCCATTTCCAGGGTGCCATCTTCGTTCACCAGTGGTCTGGATTGGGAATAGCTCTTGGCCCAATATGTTGTTTCAATTGACTCATGTGGAACAGCGGATGGATTTTATGAGTTCAGGGAACTACAGTTTATGGGCTACATCCCCCTGCACACAAATTAGGTCTGAATTCCAACATCTAGTCCTAATCATTGATTTGAGCTGCTCCACCAGTTCCAACACCTCAAAGCTCGATTCCTCTCAACCCTTCACTCAAACTCCACCATATTTTGATGATTGAAAGAGAATCACCCGATCTACGATTCCATCAAACCAAATCGTGATCCCCATACTTGTTATTCATCAAACTTGTTACTCTTGGAGATCAGGGACTCCTAGGTAGTAGGAGTCAAGGCCCTTAAGCTTCCTATTGTTGTGGTGTGCTATGGGTGTTTGTAAAGGTCCGGTGGTCGCCTTTAGGACCAACCATGAGTGATTTGAGGCTCATCCGTTGGCACGACTCAAAGGGAGACTAGTGTGATCCACTTAGTGGCTCTTCGGAGCTTTGGCTTGGGCACTTCTCCAACGAAGACTAACACTCCCAAAAGAGTGTGAACTTTGGCAAACATCCGCATCGCTGACTTGTGTGGTTAATCTGTTTCCGTACCATTACTTGTGCTTGCTTGCAAGATATCTTGTTGGTCTTGCTTATCTAGTGTATTAGCTTGCTTTCTGTATATGTTGTTCTCACCGTAGATTGCATATCTAGATAACTTACTTTATCTGCATCTACCCTAAAATTTGAAAGTTAAGCTAAAATTTTGTAGTTACCTTTTCAATCCCTCCCCCTCTAGTTGACCAATTCGATCATTTCAAAATTGTATATGATGAATGCAAGGTCAAATGACCAAAGTAAACCACAAGCAAAGACCTAGGGTTAGGGATAACCGAAGACTCCAAAGACTAGTATGTATCCCAACGTTCACTTCATTGGAGGGAAGCTAGTCACCGTTGGAGGGGTGTGTGTTACCATGAATGTACACCAACATCACAAAAAGTCTCATCCTATTCTCCTTGAGATATCACCGCCCAGGCGATTCCCAACCATTCGTGGTAGACCTTAAGGCGGCCTCCAAACATTCACATACTTTGGGGCAAATCACATATCAATTTTTCATAAACACTCCTACCGCTAAGGAGCCTCCAAACTCGAAGAGTAACAACCTCGGTAAGCACAGGTATGGGGATCCAGATTTCCTTTGATGAAAGTGTAGATCGAACGATCCTATTTGAATCATGAAGATTTGAGAGTGTTTGGTGAAAGTGTAGATCAGGCAAATACAAAAAGGGTGCGTGAAAGAGGCAACGTTACCGGTACCCCGCAGATCGCGCCCCCCCCCCCAAGAGGAAACCATTGGACCCCCGAGATACAGGGGCACAAGAGAAGATGTATATTTGAAGATTTGGATTGCAATGATGAATTTGATGTGTATTTGTATGTTTGTGCAGGTGTATGAAATGAAGTGAAGTTAGCATGATCCCCACACTCGAAACTTTACATCAACCCCTCTTAATGGTGCGGCTTACCTATTGACTTAAAAAGATAAATCAAAAACTTTGGTCTTTCATGATCTTTGCCGTCTGTGACGCCCGGATAGTTACGCTATAGTAACCCTCCGCTAATGATGCCATGTCACCACGATTACTGTTGTTAATCTTGCGATGATTCGAATCCCGTTCAAATTTCAAATTTAAAGTCAGGTCAAACAATTAAAGTTTTCAAAAGTCAAAACTAAAATGATCTTAAGGTGACAAATAAATCATGAATATTATTGGTGGAGAAACAACATCTTTATAAAATAATTAAATACCCTAAAGTGATTAAAACATCAGCAAAACAATTAGTTATACTCCTAATATATTTTACAAAATACTAAACTATTTTAGCTAGGTGCAAAAGTTAATTGCGGTAGTGGCATAATTAGTAATACTATTTTATGTGCAACTTATGTATTTTATAAGAACTAAAATTTAATATAACAGTAAAAAGAAAATTAAGAAAAAGAAAAGAAAAACAAAGACAGAAAAATAAAGTAAAAGCAAAAGAAATCCCCCCTCCCCCGCTGGGCCTCGGCCTAGCTGGCCACCAGGACAACCAGGACAGCCCACCTAAACTCCCTGCTCCTTCCTCCTGTTCACCAATGGCCGTATGTGCGCCCTGGCCGTCCGTGCGCGATGCCGCCGGTGGATACTCGCCACCGCGATGCTACAGGGGCGCAGGAGGAGTATAAGACCGCCTCGACCTCGTGGACGAAACCTAGTTACCCACCTTCATTTCCTTCCGTTGCTATCCTCTCCCGCACACGTGGACGAGCCGCCGTCGCCACGATCGCTGTCGATCCCGCGGCCCCCGACCTCACCGCGCCATGACACCGAGTCCGCCCGCTCCATCGACGAGCGCTCCTTCGACTGGTGCTGCCCGTGGGAGCCCGAAGCCCCTGCACCGTCCTCTACCTCGTCGTTGACCCCTCTTCCCCGACGACCCCCACCGCGCGATTCGTCGCCACCACTGCGTCCCCGGCTTCCCCAAGCCGTCCCCCGCCCTCACTGTGAGCTTTGCCTTGTTTCCCCTTTCTCCCCTCTGACGATTTCGCGCTCTAGCTAGGACCCCGCCATGGACGGACCTGTAACACCCACGATGCGGCTATATCTCCCACGTGTCGGAGCACGACTTAGAGGCATAACCGCATTGTAGGCAATGTCGCAAGAGAGGTAATCTTCACACAACCCATGTAATGAATAAGGAAAGGGATACATAGTTGGCTTACAATCGCTACTTCACACAATACAAGAATAAAGCATTACATCATCCAAATACAAACAAGGTCCGACTACGGAACCAAAATAAAAGAAGACTACCCCTAATGCTACAGATCCCCGATCGCCTCGACTGGGCTCCACTACTGATCAACTGAAACAAAACAACACAACGAGTAAGATCTTCATCGAGCTCCTCCTTGAGCTCGGTTGCGTCACCTGCATGATATCATTGGCACCTGCAAGCTGGTTTTGGAAGTATCTGTGAGTCACGGGGACTCAGCAATCTCACACCCTTGCGATCAAGACTATTTAAGCTTATGGGTAGGAAAAGGTATGTGAGGTGGAGCTGCAGCAAGCACTAGCATATATGGTGGCTAACATGCGCAAATGAGAGCGAGAAGAGAAGGCAAAGCACGTTCGAGAATCTATGATCAAGAAGTGATCCTAGACTACTTACGTTCAAGCATAACTCCAACACCGTGTTCACTTCCCGGACTCCGCCGGAAAGAGACCATCATGGCTACACACGCGGTTGGTGCATTTTAATTTAAGTTAAGCTTCAGGTTTTCTACAACCGGACATTAACAAATTCCCATCTGCCCATAACCGCGGGCGTGACTTTCAAAAGTTCAAAACCCTGCAGGGGTGTCCCAACTTAGCCCATCACAAGCTCTCACGGTCAACGAAGGATATTCCTTCTCCCAAGACAATCCGATCAGACTCGGAATCCCGGTTACAAGACATCTCGACAATGGTAAAACTAAACCAGCAAAGCCACCCGATGTGCCAACAAATCCCGATAGGAGTCGCACGTACCTCGTTCTCAGGGCAACACCAGATGAGACTAGCTATGAGTAAAACCAGCCCTCAAGTTTCCCCGAGGTGGCCCCGCAGGCAGCTCAGTTCGGACCAACACTTAGAGAAGCACTGGCCCGAGGGGGGGGGTTAAAATAAAGATGACCCTTGAGTCTGCAGAACCCAAGGGGAAGGTGATAGGTTGTTAGTGCAAATGTAAAACCAAGGTTGGGCCTTGCTGGAGGAGTTTTATTCAAAGCGAACTATCAAGGGGTTCCCATTATAACCCAACCGTGTAAGGAATGCAAAATCAAGGAACATAACACCGGTATGACGGAAACTAGGGCGGCAAGAGTAGAACAAAACACCAGGGATAAGGCCGAGCCTTTCACCCTTTACCAAGTATATAGATGCATTAATTAAATAAGAGGTATTGTGATATCCCAACAAATATCCATGTTCCAACAAGGAACAACTCCAATCTTCACCTGCAACTAACAACGCTATAAGAGGGGTTGAGCAAAGCAGTAACATAGCCAAACAATGGTTTGCTAGGATGAGGTGGGTTAGAGGCTTGACATGGCAATATGGGAGGCATGATAAGCAAGTGGTAGGTATCGCAGCAAAGGCATAGCAAAAGAGCGAGCATCTAGCAAGCAAAGATAGAAGTGATT